ACCAATCAGACAAGGGTTTACTTCGATAGTCGAGAAAAATATTTTTTTGTTTAATGATTCTCTACTTCCTTCTATAAACATTTTAAGACATGTACATGAAGATAGCCTACTTATAAATGAAGAATATTTGGACATGGCCATTCTGAGTTCATCGGATGAGGACTGCAAATAGTGTAGAATCATGCGCTTACGAATCGAACAACCCTGCAGTGTTTCACATTTTCAGTTCCTCAGAGTATATGATTTATGCAGGTTACTGTCTAGTAAATTTCATCTTTATTTAACTAACCGCGGAAGATAAGCCTCTATTAACCTTCATGACCCACCTAACTTTTCAAAGACGTTACACGACTGGAGCATGCGAAGTACTTGATATGTTTATTTTCAAGGCAATGTGCGTATAAGATTTAGTACAGCAAATAAAAGTTGTATGAGAAGGTAAGCGAAGCAATTGAGCTTGTCAAGTGAGAACAAGTGCGGTTGTGATTTCCACTTTCGCATGAAAAATGTAGAATCGAAATGACTATTGCTCCGTGCAAAGTAGAAAGATAACTTATGCTCTGTTTTTACAGCCTAATGATCAGTTGGCTGATGTCGGAAAATATCATGAAGATCTGCCATGCATTTATGCCTAATACTAGTCCATGTATGCACATGCAACTGCACGTGTAAGTATACACTGGGGTCTATGGCGATAAATTTATATCAGAGTGGATGTTCATCGCCAAAGAAAAACGATGTAGTGAAAGTAGATTATGTCGAAAGACTAAATTGTGGAGGATTAAAATATGGACGAAAAGAAGTGTTATTTGATGAGCTCAGTACAGCATAGGGCCTCAATAAATTGTGCAGGCTGAAAAGTGCTAATCCTGTGGGGCAGAATCCGGGCCACGGTTCACCACAAAGCCAGATAGACCTTCCTCCGTGAATCCATGCTTGGGCAATGCATTGGATTCAGGCTCCTCTGCCAAGAAGGTGATGATATGCTCAGAGGTTGAAGTCGCATAACGGGGAAGACGGATCGTAGAGGGCTGCTTAACAGAAAGAACTCAGTGAAATTAAGCAAATAGGATCAAATCGCCAATGTAGTGAGCACAATAATTCACAAATATTTACAAGAGGCACGCATAGAGACAGGCTATGTAATTGCGCCCAAGAACAAAGCCCAGTTTAGAAGTTTTCTGATCTCGTTTTCGCAACTTGGTCGTGTTTTCACGATACCTAATTGGACACATCTGATCCGGGATCGTCTGCTCTGGTAGTTATGATCATTTCCAGCGTTGGCTCATGGACTTACAACTTTTACAGATTTTTCGCCGGGATCGTCGATCTGTATTGCCAGTCTTGGCGCCAAACTAAAATTTATCAAAGAGATAAGTGACGTAGATCCCTTGACAAATTTTCTGCCCAACGATTGTGTTATCCATCTTCTTTCTGTCTGGATACAACTATCTACTTCCTATCCTCGTATCACTCTCCCTCTCTCTTGCGACTTCTCACTTGTTTATATTCGACTCTTCAAGAATTATGCCATTTTTGG